TCTTCTTGGTGGTAATCCAATACTTTCCTTTGGATTTTCCTTTCTGTTGCCCCTTTCCTTTTCCCTTGGAGTTGGCATTGATTGGCCAGAACCCCCTGGCTCTGACCTTTTCTCCCAACTTCCTTCTTGCTTCGACGTATGACGAAAAGGCACTGGCAAGATCAGCATCTGATTGGACCAATTCGGATGCTGCTGACTCAAAATCCATCACAAGGATGGCGTCGTCATCTCCCTCGGATGCCATTTGATCGATCACTTCACCATCTGACCACTCGTCAGCCTGAGTGTTCAGAGCTTCATCAGGATCCCCTGCCTCTTGTCCCTCGGCAAGGAGGAGTGCTTGATCGTAGACCTTGGATTTGTTGGTGGCTTTCTTACTGGCTCCTGTCAACTCCTGGAAGAACGTGGTTCCGAGCATTCGCACTGCTTCCTGCACACGGCTGACGGTGAGTTTCCCCTCAAGGGAAGAATCACTGTCCAAAATGATTCTCTTTTTGTCTTCACTGGACAGTTGAGCACCACGGAGTGTCACAAAAGCTTGAAGGTCTTCTATCTTCAAGGACTGGGCTGCTAACTTGGACCAAAGGATGTCTGCCCTTGCCAGATAGCTGTCGTGACTTTCATCATTCAGCTGCTGGCATTGGTACAAAGCTCTCTCGGCCTCGGCATAGCGCTTCTCGAGACCTGTTCGGCCCCAATGTCCCCCCAGCAGCTCGATCAGACGCTTCACGCCTTTCTCCTCGTTGATGCAAATCTCAGCCTGATGCAGTTGCAGTTTAGTGAATGCAGAGCCGGATGCGTTCAGGATGAGTCGGGTGACGAGCTCACTGACTCGAGTGGCAGGCCACACTGACAGTACTAACTGTACCTTTTGCTGGTACACTTGCAAGTCATCTTTGCTCGGGTCAAAACTTGGAACCAAGTTGGCCAACTGGGTAGAGATTCCACCAGTCGTCCCTTCCTCCGGCATGATGTGTCAGAGAAGTTTGGCCCCGGATGCCCCCAGTATCAACTGGGGGCTCCGCTACCAATGTGATTGGATAGCGGTCAGATCACCTGAGAACAGTAGGAAGTGCCCCGACTTCCACAACGAATCCACTGTCGGACGGCCGCGTCCTTTTCCCAGCTGCACGACCTATGCAGCAAGTTCGCAGTAGCCAATAGGTATGGCACACTCAAGGCATGAACCCTCCCGCCACAACTCCGTAAGGCTTCCCTGAGCCTTAGTGCCTATGGACGGTTCCTGTGAACGGCGCAGCACTGACATGGACATGGTTTGTTGGATCACTAGTGGTGGAAACAATTGACTCCATTTTGGGAGCGTTACTGTTGTACTCATGTACCGTAGAATGACCATGTCACAGTCAGTTACATTCACATTACGTACACATATATACATACATACATACATACATACATACATACACATACATACACATACATACATATACATACATATACATACATATACATACATATACATACATATACATACATATACATACATATACATACATATACATACATACATATATATATATATATGCAAATGTCTGTCGTACCCAAGCAATTCACTTGCTACTCAGACAGCGTTGACTTCAGGTTTGTGGATCAAAACAGTGGCCCATCTTTTGGATAGACCCTGTGGTCTAGTGGTTTCACCCGCTGCTTGTGCCGCGATAGCTCCACTCCAAGATCACGGGGTTCCATAGACAGCTGCTGATTACCCAGTACCTTGGTGAACCAGAACGCCGGGCTGTTCCCAGCATCTCCAGTTGACGCTACCTGCATGGTAGCGGAGCCTAGCTCCAAAGAGGCTTGATCCAGATGAACAAGGAAGTGTGGTACTCAGGGCAGCCAGGCCGCTCTGAGTCAGTGACTGGTAGCGTCAATGCGATTCAGAGGAATCGCGAGGGTGTGCCAATATGGTCAGGGGAGGCCATATTGTTCGAGGAGTACGTGGAGGCATGTCTACTCTACGAGCAGACAGTTCAGCGAGAGAAGAGGTACCTTTGTGGACCGCGATTGGCATCCGAGCTCAAGGGACCCGCGAGGCGGGTACTCATTGGACGCCCGGCTGACTGGCTATCGCATGAAGGAGGAGTTCGGCAGTTGGTGAGCGCTCTACGACAAGAGAGAGGTCAACCAAAAGTGCCTGAGTTGTCAGAACTACTGCAAAGGTATTTCCGTGGGACACGGAGGGCCCGAGGTGAATCGATGGGGGACTTCATTCTCAGGAAGTCCGAGGCGTACACCCGGGCGCAGCAGTCGATGGCCAGGTACATGAAGGAGCAGAACATCACATCATGGACTTCAACAACGCCGTGGTCAGGTACGTCCAGGAGGCGAGATCCACCCACCGCTGCTAGTGAAGAAGAGAGCAATGCAGCCCAGAACACCTCTGTTGCAGCACCATCGGAGCCGTCGCAGGAGGAGGAATTCTGGGACACCAATGAGGAGCAGCTTATGGAGTGGTCCTGGTTCGGGCAATCGCTACTGGGATGATGGCTACTGGTCGCGGGATAGCTGGTATCGGAACAGACCCTATTCCCGCGACTCTTCGGAGTGGGGCAGTGATCAGCTGCCACAGATTCTTCCGGACTTTGTGCAGGGATGGTATCTGTTCATGGATGCCGGCTTGGATGTGATGGAAAGGAATGTCCTTCATGCCGAACTCAAAGGAAGCTTCGGAGTGCGAGAAGTGGAAACCATTCTCAGGAAACATTGGTCAGATGTGGACCTGAGGAAGAGGGATGCTGAGAAGGGGCGATTCATGGCCAATCTGAGCAAGGAAGTCGATGAGGAGGTGATTTGCTTCGGAGACCTGGATGCCGGAACCTTGTCAGCGGAGGGCTTCTCTTCCGAGGAAGTTCAATCCCTGCTGGCAGATGAAGCGCATGCTCAACAGGCGATGGCAGCCATGTTCGAAGCTCGTCGAACTCTGAAGGATGCCCGAGCACGGCAGCACGCCGTGCGCATGGGACGGCAGTTCTACCCGTCCAAGCCTGGTGATGGAGGCCGTAAGGATGGGCTATGGAAGCAATTTTCTCAGCCGAAGGTCACCATCCAATGTTTCCGATGCGGAGGACCCCACAAGAGTGCCGACTGCAAGGAGAAGCCACGATCCGAAGCTCCCAAGTCCAATGTGGTGACCGAGTCAGCTCCCTTGGTGTTCATGTCTGAGGAGATTCTGAGTGCTGAATCCGGTTTTTTGTCAACCTCTGAAGTTGTAGCTCAGGGGAAGGCCGTCATTGACGGCGGAGCCACACGCACCGTAGGATCCACTGCAGCGCTCGACAAGGTGGTTGATTTGAATCAGGCGAAGCGCGGGGTGAGTGGTGTTGCTTCTGTTGATTTTGATGATAGGCCTACGTTTGGGTTCGGAAATTCCAGTAGGAACCAGTGTGCATCAACCACCGATTTGGAAGTGCCCCTTGGAGGACACACCGGATCCCTGCGGATCCACGCACTTGATCAGGGTGCGGCTCCCATTTTACTTTCAATCCGCCCCCTCAGACGCCTGGGGGCAATCATAGATTTTGAGAATGATCGTGCCATTTTTCGGCACGTGGATCCAAGTCGAATGATTCACTTGGAACGCGCAGCTGCGGGTCATCAAGTGATGCCCCTTACGGAGGACGTGTACCATCAGTCAACTCAGCTGAGCCAGCCGTTTCCCTCCTTGGTAGCGATCGAGTAGGGACAGCTCCTTTCCGCCATGTACCCTGCAAGTGGTAGAAAGGTCGAAAGGGCAGCAGGGAACCTTGGGTACGATCAAAGTTTTTTAAGTGGTACCAGTGGGGTTGGTAGTGATGGGAAGCTGGGAACCGGGGATGCTGCGGACAGTATGGACAACAACTCACAACAGGTCGCCCAGGAACAACAACCAGGTGAATCAGGGGACTTTGAAACCCAGGGTGATGACAACGAAGAGGTCCACGTCCCCCCCCGGGTTCACATGACACACATAGCGCGCACACACACCCGCGCGGAGGCCAGTGCAGATGGCGCACTGGCAGATGTGACTAAGGCTGCAGACTCAGGTCAGTCAGCGATGGCTACCGATCAGGACATGTTCAGTGGAGTCGAGGGCTCACAGAATGACAATGGAGTAGAGGACATGACTAGGAAGCCACGAAAAGGAATTCTAAAGAAAGAAGGAGTCCAGTCATCTGAGGATCACCATGATCACCCATATAGCGCTAAGGTATGGAATGAGTCCCGTGGATGTTGGCAGTCACCAGTTGGCTCTCGAAGATTTCACTCAATAGACACGAGGCCCAAGTATCAATCCCAGCGAGTTCGGTTTTCGTTGATCTCCCATCATGGCCCTCTGAGCAAGATGACCACAGCAGAGCTGAAGACTCGCCTGTTGGAGGCGCACGGCGAGCCAGCTCCGAAGGGATGGCGCAAGAACCAACTCCTTCTACGTCTTACCGAACTGGAAGGTTTGGAAGCGGTGCAGGCCAGTGGACCACCGCGCAAAAGCCCACTGCGCGAGATGGAGATTCGCATCAACAAGAGTGCCCGCAAGAAGAGCGAGCTGCAACAACTGGCCATGGAGATGAACGTGAACTTCTCGGCCAACGACACCATCCAGATCCTCACCCTCAAGCTGATGGACGCAGCGTACCGCCGCACAGCTGGAGATCACACGGATCCAGTGGGATTTGGTATTCACTCCCACCTGACATACCAGGAGATTCAGGATTCTCAATGGGAGTACTGCCAATGGGTGTTGACCACAGCGGCCGAGGGCGATGCATGTTTCCGCCTGGTGCGCCTGGCGGAGTGGTTGCAGGCCAATCCCAAGAGGGATGTGAACATGCTGGGTGGAAGGCGCGGCAAGAAGAGCATGCCAGCGCCAAAGGCAACCTCTCGGGTTCCTCCAGTACCCGAATCTCCAAGTCCAGCGTCCAGCAACGAGGATTCCAAGGGCAACATGAAGACCATGCTGTCACAGCTGGCACAGGCTGTGCAGGGCTTGACCCAGAAGATGCATGCCCTGGAGAAGGACACGAAGGAGGCCAAGCGCAAGACGAGTCACTCAGAGGACGCAACCACTTCCAATTCCGAATGGGAGGGAGTGAATCCCGTTTGACGGTGCCCCAACAAATGGGACACCTGGCAGACGAAGAGACTGAAGACGAAGAGATGAGGAAGCAACCACTGGAGGCTTTGACAGCCAAGTCCTTAGAGTGGAGGTCTGAGAGACTTTTGCCAGCCAGTGTAGAGATATTAGCTCGTCTCAAGCATCCAGTCCTGTATGAGATAGCTTGCGGACCTCATTCCTTGATCACTGAAAAGATGCGTGAGTTGGCTGGATCCGAGGCTGCGGCCAAGAGGTTTGCTTTTTGGAACGGATACGATTTAAGTAGCACGGTAGGAGTTCGCGCCGTGTTAGCTGAAATCACCAAAAACAACCCCCAAGCGGTTTGGCTGAGTTTGGAGTGTGGCCCTTTTAGTAAAATGCAGAACGTCAACCAAAGGAATGCTCAACAGGTAGCTGATCTCCAACAGAAGCGCCAAGCCTGCATTCGCATGTATGTAGGAGGGCTCATCATTTTTACTCACTGTGTGCAGCATGGGATTCCGGTTACCTGGGAATGGCCTGAGACCAATGATGCTTAGAGGTTACCAATGGTGCAACGGGTCTTTGGGAAGTACCAACCATGGTTCTGTGCGGTTAAGGGATGCCGAGTGAAGTTGATGGACCCGCAATCCAAGAAGCTTATGGGAAAAGGGTGGAAGCTTGCCACGACGCATCCGGGGATAGCCCAACACATGGACCTTCCTTGCAAATGCGTCGAAAAACATGTCCCATGCGAGGGAAAGCTGACACGCATGACAGCCTACTACACTGAGGATTTCGCCAGACGAGTGTGCCGGGCCATCCTCTGGGACAAAGTGACACCACTGATGTTCAAAGAATTAAGGGGGGATAAAAGGGAATCCTACCAAGTGGTACGTCGTCCCAAGGAGTGTACGTGTGATTGTGTCCGTCATCCGAAGAGTAGGTTGAGCTGTAACCTTTGTGAGTATGGGGCTGAAATGGTTGAGGGTCTTAGTATGGTGGGGAACGACATGGATGTTGATGCCGAAGAATCTTTGACCGAAGAGAAAAAAGATAGATGCCTCAAGCAAATTGCCATGCTCCACAGGAACACAGGTCATGGTCCCTTGGAACACTTAGTGCGTGCCTTGGAAGCAAGAGGCACAGGTGCTCGGGTCGTGGCCCTAGCAAAAGGCTACGAGTGTGCAGTCTGCAAGGAGCTTGGTCGTCAGGTTCCACGGCCAAGGGCCACGCTGGAACCACTTCCCCCCAAATGGGCAACCATTCAGGCTGATGTGGCTTATTGGGTCCATCCTAAGACTGGGGAGCGATGTCAGTTTGCGATTATTATTGATGAGGGTTGTCGGTTTCGTGTTGGGAAGATGATGGTGAAAGGTTCTGGGGGTGTTAACGGTGAGCAGTCGATCAACTGTTATAGGGAGAATTGGAAACCTGCTTTTGGGAAACCACGCAAACTGCGAGCTGACCCAGGAGGGCCGTGGAGATCCAATAGAGTTGATGAGTATTTCATGGGGGAACAGGTTGAGTTGGATACCATACCGGCTGAAGCTCATTGGGGGTTTAGTCATGTCGAACGGGCTATTCAGTGTACGAAACACATCATGAACAAGTTGGCCATGGGAGACCATAACCTGAGTGCGGAAGAAGCCTTGTCGGAAGCCATCCGAATTGAGAACGAACGGGAAGTGGTGCGGGGGTTCTCCCCAGCTCAGCACGCTCTGGGAAGAGCGGCAGATGAACATGGTAGGATCACGCCCAGTGGAGCACTGGAAGTGCCACCAGTGTTGGTTGACGACCCCCAAGGGGAATTTGGTAGAACCATGGAAGTCATGAGAGAAGCGGAGAAGGCTATGACCGACTATGTCTACAATGATCGGTTGCGTAGGGCTCAGAACACCCGTCCTCATCAAGTTCAGAACTACCAGCCAGGTGATTTGGTGTTTGTTTGGCGTATCCAGAACAATAATGGAAATCGTGGTCACCGTAGGGGGGGTTTCACCGGTCCTTGTAGGATTCTGGCAACGGAAACGCGAGAAACTCCTGAGGGTGTACTGTATCCTAGCTCTGTGGTGTGGTTGGTCAGGGGATATCGTTTGCTGAAGGCTGATACACGTCAACTCCGACATGCCACCCATAGGGAAGAATGTGTGGAACAGTTGGCCAGTCCGGTGGATTTGCCATGGACCATGACCAAGCTCACTGAGGAGCTTGGGGGACGCCAATATGAAGACGTATCCAACGAAATTCCTGAGGCAATGGAGATGGAGGCAGCACGTGACGAGGAACGGGCAGCACCGCCAAGGCGGGTGCGCCAGAAAAGGTATGTGCACAATGTCCGGCTCCAAGTAGGAGAGTGGATGCCGAAGCATCTGCGGGCAGCCGGGGACACTTAGTAACAGACCATGAGCTCCCAGAAGTTCATGACATGTATGCTGAGGCCTTTTGAAGTGTAGACACAGCTGCAGTTGCCGTAGAGATCCCGCTGCCAGAAACACGAAGAGGTAAAAGTTACATGGCCAATCACTTCGAATCGTTTCTGGTGTCACAGTTGAGGCGCAGGTCAGTAGAGGTGTCAGAACGTCACATGGATGCCGAAGAACTGTCTCAAATGAAACAGGCTAAACATGAGGAAGTCAAGAAGTTTGTGGCAGCTGACGCCCTCCAGGCGTTACCGCCACATCTACAACCCGACAAACAAACAGCGATGCGGATGCGGTGGGTCCTAACATGGAAAAAGGACGAACAAGGATGCCGTGCAGCCAAAGCACGGTGCGTCATTTTGGGGCATCAGGACCCCAACTCTGAGCATAGGCAAACCATGGCTCCCACCATGTCTCGTACCACCCGCCAACTGATTCTTTGTTTGGCTGCTGGTCTAAAGATGAGAGTCGCTAAGGGGGATGTGTCTGGAGCTTTTCTCCAGGGACGGGAGTACCAACATGATGCCTATGTGATACCCACGGATGAAATTTGTGAGGCCATGTCCATTCCCTACGGTTCCATCACCAAACTCAAAAAGGCTTGTTACGGTTTAGTTGATGCTCCGTTAGAATGGTTTTTGACTGTTTCTGACTTTCTTCAATCTATTGGCTTTGAGAGATGTGTGAGTGATCCTTGCTGTTTCAAATACGTGGATAGTAAACAGGGCTTGATTGGTTTGATAAGTGGTCATGTGGATGATTTCTTGTTTTGTGGAAGAGATGGTTGTGAGGTTTGGGAACGGTTGTGCCAACAAATAAAGGAGAAGTTCAAGTGGGGAACCTGGGAGTATGACAGCTTCACGCAATGTGGAGTCAAGATAGAACAGGAATCGGACGGGGGTTTTCTTTTGTCACAGACTCAGTACATAGAAGAAATCAGGGAGATTCCAATCTCCGCAGAACGACGTCGGGAACCCAAAGCTCCGACCTCAGATCTTGAAAAAACCAGGATTCGTGCCGCGCTCGGGGCCCTGTCGTGGGTTGCTCAGCAGTCGCAACCCCAGCTATCAGCCGCAGTAAGTCTGCTGCTGTCACAAGTCACCCAAAGCACGGTGTCCACCATGATAGAAATCAACAAGTTGATCTACAGGACCAAGTGTAATCGTAAGCATGTTCTGCGCATTCACGGAGGGCTTTCCATGAACGATTTTCTGGTTGCTGGCTGGGCTGATGCTGCTGCACAGAATAGACCTGACGGTAAGAGTACTGCTGGAGTAGTAGTGACGGTCCAAGACCATATTCGGAAAAACAGTGGCATGTATTCCCCTTTTTGGTGTCCTGATACGGATGCGGATGAGAACACTGAAGGAGGTGTTGTTCCCACCACCTTTGATGCTTGGGTGGATTCCCTGACGCGAAAGGGGCAATGGATCAGTGGTTTGGTTTTGAAAGCCATCAGCCGCAGATGTGGTGTCCAGATCGTTGTCATCGAACTCGTGGACAATGAGTTTCGCGAACCTGTGATTTTTGGAAAACCAAAAAGGGAGGCTTCCCCCATTGTTTTGCTTTTACATGATAGACACTACCAGTTGTTTGCCTTGAAACCCAATAGATCCATTCCCAATGAATGGCTCAAGGGTCGAGAAAGTAACAGTGAATGTCCTTTGTTAAGAGGAGCTGGTAGCCAGTCTGCAGCTGCATCCCCGCGGAAAGCAATTAGGTTTTGGGCTTCAGAAACTCCAAGTGTCAAAAGCTCGGGAGGAAGCAAGCGATTGTGGGACGATGCCACGCCCAGCCGTAGCCTCAGTAAAAGCAGTTCCTTGGTTTGTCAGACTCCTAGTTATGCTGCTACCTCCACAAAGAAGGGTCGGGTTGACCACAGCCGGGTTTTGTCCTTGGGTGAATTGGTTCCCCAAACTGGTTCCCGCACTTGGTGGAAATGTAACCTCTGTGATTTTTCAATTCCCTCCGGTAGCAAGGGAGACAGCCAGCGGTCGTGGAGCAGACGGAAGCATCTCCAGACGGCGCATGGAATTACTGCTAGTAAAATCCCCAAGCTCCCCAACCAGGGTGCCTGTCCGAATGCTTGGAAAGCTAAATGCACCCAAGAAAAGCTGGAACAGAGATGGAACATTGTTTGGGAATTGTATCAAAAAAAGAGATGGCCAGGCAGTCATGACATTCCCAGGGAAAGAATTCCCACCAAATTCAAAGGTGTGTTCCGAACCCAATGCAAGCGCTGCCATGTGAAATTGCGAACAAATGAGCTTTTCAGTAAGGTTTGTGCTAAGTCCATTTCCAAACAGATTTTAGAGCCTCTCTCTGCTCGCAAAGCTGTTTGGCAATCTATTTATGGGGAAGCCTCTGACATCTTGAGATTGGATTGGCTTGAGCGAAACTTTGTCCGCAAACGAGATGTTTCCAAGCCTCGGAAAATTGTCCACAAACAAGGAAGGGTGCGCTCCTCGTTCAAGGTTGATTTGAGCAAGAAAGCTGATGGTCTGGCTGCCACCCGCCGTGGCAAAAGGGCTGAGCGAGTTGGAGAGGCTCGGCACCCAGGTCCATGTAGTGACAGTCTCAGTTCCTTAAAGTGTTGGTCTGTTAACTGCAGATCTTGGAAGCGACATGGTAATGATTTGTTGCTGACTGCTGCCATTAGTGGAGTTAAGATCCTCATGATCCAAGAACATGGGCTGACGACAGCTGAGTTGGGAGTGACAATGAGAGATGTGCAAAAAGCCGGGTGGCAAATGTTACCCCTCCCCGCAAATAGCTTAGCAAATGGGGGCAGAGGCGGCATCGCTATTTTGGTCCGGGAGCCTTTAGCTGCTTTGAAAATTTCTGATGTCACGCTCGAATCTGGCCAAATCCTTAGTGCCGAAATTTTTGGCCTCGGACATCCCCTGAGGGTTGTTTGCCTGTATCAACGTAAGGCAGGCCAAGAAGAATTCCTCAATTTTTTCCAACAGAATGCTGTTTTCTTCAATAGGGGCTGCTGGATTGTTGGTGGTGATTTCAATGAAAATGTGCAACATGGCACCGTGGCCAACTTCCTCAGGCAACACGGAGGTGATCTGATTTCCAAAGGTAGGTATATCCAAAATACCAAGGTTTCTTGGGAACACGTTCCTGCGGAAGATGTGAACGTTCGGTTTATCGATGGCATTTTCTTTAATGGCCCGTGTTTCAAGCTTCCTTTGGTTCAGGAACTTCCTCCTGTTGGTGCTGACCATACCATTCCTGAAGCTACTTTTTTCGTTGATTTATCCCCGGGTGAGAAAGAATTCCGTATGGCCCGTCATCGAAAACGTTGTGAAATGCAGGAAGGTGTCACTAGACCGGACATCCAAACCTCCTTTTGTTCTTGCGAGATCTGGAATCGTGTTTTGCTTGAAGATGTCAACTCCGCCTGGCACCAATGGTGCCTCGACGCTGAATCCTGTTTAATCCGCCTCGGAATTTTAGAGCCTTCCGCTGCAGAAGTCGCTCTTGGGCAATATTCATTTAGAGAAGGTGGGGCTAGAATGGCTCCCAGTCAAAGACACCGAGAAAGAGAACTGCGCCGTATCCTCAGACGTTTGCAGGAAGCACAGTTAAAAAAGGGTCGAGGCCAGATGGTGCCTAACAGTTTGCGTCGCAAGCTTAATAGTTTGCCCGGTACTGTGGGGCAGCTTGCCCGCCAAAATGCTTGGGGCCCAGCAATCCAGAGAGTTCAGCAAGATCTCCAAACTTTCCTGTGCAATGAACAAACCCGTAAATCCCAGAAGTGGAAGCAAGACATGTCCCATTTGCCTTCCGCTATTAAATGGATTCAAAATACTGCAGCCCCAGCGCCATGGCTTCTTCGTGGCAATGGCCAAACTACGACCTGCCGGGCTAGCGGTGCCAAACTGCTGTCTCAAGTTTGGGCTCCAATTTTTGGTGTGGGCCATGATGACCAAACCGCGTGGCAAAACTTCCAGAGAGCTTATGGGCCTTTCCTTGAACCTCCTCACGGAGACGAACTGCCGGAGCTCCAACCCATCTCAGCCAGCTCCCTGCAGAGGGTCGCCAACAAGATGAAAAGGTCCTCTGCAGGAGTCGACGGATGGGATGCCACTCTTTTGTCCCATCTACCTCCTGAGGGTTGGGACAGACTTGCCCAATTGCTTAATCGATGCGAAGAAAAATCTGAATGGCCGACCTCGTTGAAAGTGTGGAAACTCGTTTTCATTCCAAAGGGTAAAAGCGACTCAGCACAAACTGCAACAGATGCTCTTCAAGTTCGTCCCATAGCCATGGGCAGTCTCATTTACCGCCTGTGGGGGAAGGTGAGATTGCAACAACTGGCTCCACATTTGACAAACCACTTGGCCCCCTTTCAATCAGGGGGTAACGCCGGCCCGGATGTGGAGAGCATGTTGGTTTCCTTAGCTTTGGATTTCCCTAGTGACACATACCAATATGCCATGGCTCTCGATTTTAGTAAGGCCTTTGACAGCACTGACGCCTTTACTGCTTTGGAAATTCTCAAACTGTGGAAAATCCCTTCGGCCATTGTTGGGTTACTTGCTGCCCAGTGGTTTGGTCATTCTCGAATTTCAAGCTTCGGCGGGGCCGTTTTTCCCCACGAAATGACCGGAACTTGTGGTTTACCTCAAGGGGACCCTTGGAGCCCCTTGAGCATGGCAGCAGTGCTTGCAGCTCCATTGCGAAAGTTACAACAAGAACACCCTGGAGTAGGCCAGATGTTATATTTAGACGATCGAACTATTTTGGGGCGTAGTGTAGCTGACATCCGAGCGGTGCAGTCGGCTTGGAATGAACTTTCAGATGTCACCCGGCTCCAGACGCATCCCCAAAAGACGCAGCTTTGGGGGCGAACCCAGGAAGCAAAACGGTACCTGCAATCATCCAATGAAACTGACGTGAAAGATTGTGGTGAAGTCCTTGGTGCGGTTGATGGGTTGGGAAGCAATCATCCGAAGGAAGAAGCTCGCAGAGAAACAACCCGTCAGAGAGCTCGTCACATCATGAGCTTGCCTATTTCCCAGCGAACCAAGCAGCTGCTTGCTAATGCCTTGCTCACCCCGCAAGCGGTGTGGGGCATTTTCAATACTGGAAGACCTTGCACTCAAGAGCAGCTGTTGGAATTTACCAAATGTTTTCGTGAATCTGTTCGTGGCAGCGAAAATAGGGGAGACCGTAGTTCCCGCCCGCTCCAGAGAGTTTTTCTGCTAGGGCATACATGTGACTTGGCTTTGGTGGCTTGCTCTCGGTTTATGAATGCACTGAACAGGTGGACCCTGCTCCGCATAAAACAAGGTTGGTTTGTCCCTTCTCCTCGCGCGCCTATCCCACCAGTGATGCAATATGTTTCTTCGTTCCTGACGGAATGGGGTTGGCACTTGGAAGATTGGGGCAGATGGTCTGGCCCGTCCGGATCTTTCGATGTTCGGAACAGCAAGCAAGTCAATTTGAAAGCTATGCATGATCTCAGGACCGATTGGAGACTTACTCAGATGAAAACGTGGCAAGATTCCAATCGAATTGATGCAATTTGTGCCAGAAGGAACAATTTGCATCTGACCGCTGTGCTTTTGGACAAGTTGAGAAAAGTTGCAAAAAAAACGTCCATCGATGGGATAGCTGTGATGTGTGGGGGCGTTTGGAGCCAAGCTGTGGATCGTTTTGGAGACCGACAGATTCGTCCGACTTGTCCGTATTGTTCCTCGGAAGTGGTTCCCGAACTCGAACACATTTACTGGTTTTGTAATGCTTTTGATGTGTCTAGGAACATGTCCCCTCCTGAAAGTCTGTTAGCTAGACGTTTGGGGTGGGATGACAGTTTGTCTGAGTCGCAATGCCTCAGCCTGGTCAATCAGATGGCCGCTATCCGCAGAACTGAGGTTTCTCTGAGGTCAAACTCCCTTCGCGGGGGAAACATACCAAGGTTCGAGTCGCTGCCCGACTGCCTGGCAGCTCCTCAACATGACAGTGCAGCTGCAGCTCCTGCTGCTGCGAGCCGCGATGTTGCAGCCGGTGAGTGCGCTCAGAGGGCGTCTTCTACTGCGCTTAGGGTAGACCATGGTGTTCGTTCTCAGACCAGCTCCGGTCAAAATCAGTTTAAAAGCCAAGTGAAGATGGCTGAGAGTCTGTTTGTTGCTGACCAATTTTTGGAGGAAAGGCCACAAAAAGATGCCGTCAAGACCCTGGAGGCTAAGAAGTGCAAGTGTTACAGGAGCAATGTTTCACATATTGTTGAGCGTTATCAACTGAGAAGAGCTTTGCCTAACAGAGGGCCTCTGACGCTGTTGGTTTTTGGTCCCCGGATGAAACAAGAGAAGCCTAAAAGAGCCCTTTACAAGAAATGGACGCCTGTGTGGCGCAAGAATTTTCAGCGTGCGTGGCTTAAGCCTGCGTGGCTTGCCTTCGGCTTGAATTCGTGTCAGAATTCGTGTCCGAATTCGTGTTTTTTAATTTTGGACTGGATGCCCACTATCTCCTGGGGATCCGTGGCCAATTTTGTCTCCTCCTTTGGAAACACCTTTGTAGGCCGCCAAATTGGGGCCCCCCAGGGTTTCATACCGGGCGGGCTGCGTTGCTGCAGCCATGATCGTGGAGCCTAGCTCCACCTTTCCTGCCTCTAACCCGTGTCAGGTTGAGGTACTCACCGTTCGCGCGTTAACTCATCAACACCTTTTAAAGGGAGAGATGTGTAAAATCAGTCCAATCATGTGGAGATCCTCGAAGATAGAACGGCAGTGTCGGTCACCGGGTGGCGCAGAGACGTTGGCCACGATAGAATGTGAGGATGCCATGTATGCCATTAGGCTTCAGCTTTTCGAGATGTTGGGTAACAAGGTAGATGTTAGAGCCACGGAACCACAGGTAGCTCTCATCCCGGCAGTAATTGTCACAGATTCCACGAACGTGCACGATAGGATGCGCTCTGAGATTTACGTGCCAAAAGGTCCAGAACACCGGACCGCGCTGGAGCTACTCGGACTGAAGGAGAGTATCGTGCGCACACGCACACCCATCAGGTGGGTCCACAGTGGCGCACAGCTGGCAAACCCCATGACCAAAGACAGTGAGCAGCAACAATTTCACAGATTCTTCGCCCTAGGCCAAGAATGGAAAATACCCCTCATGAGATCTGCCCGAAACAGAAAGAAGGACGGACTGGACCCACTAGAGGATGTCCCAGCTGAACCGAGACCTAGTGCCCCTTCTTGATGTTTGTGGTTGTTTTTGGTTTCGGTGTTGTTTGGTTGTTGGCTGGTTCTTTTTGGGGCCCCGCCGGGGATGCAAATGTCTGTCGTACCCAAGCAATTCACTTGCTACTCAGACAGCGTTGACTTCAGGTTTGTGGATCAAAACAGTGGCCCATCTTTTGGATAGACCCTGTGGTCTAGTGGTTTCACCCGCTGCTTGTGCCGCGATAGCTCTCCAGTCGACGCTACCTGCATATATATATAGTCTAGCTATAGTACATTCTTGGTCACACATCAAGGGGACCTTAGAGCTATGGAGCCTGCAGCCCTTCAGCAACCTGAGTTGTTGAACCCCAGCCTGAACTGGGGCCCCAAGAACAGCTGCGGCAAACAGCATGCCCAGACAAGCTCCAGTGGCCAGTGGTTTGCTGATCAAGCCCATGTCCTTTTCCATTCCTGGGGATGGAAGATCAAATTGATTGCAAACAATTACTCGTAATCCAAATACGGGGCTCAGAGCCATTGGCAACCAGTTTGGGAACAGACAAATCCGGTTTAGTGGAAACCCCCAGCCGTTTGAAAGAGATTCTTTTGGAAACAAGTTGTGATAAGGATCCATTGGAAGTCTTGATCCAACGAGCTGATCATAGTGCTTCCGTTTGTGGGCTTTGCCCGCGGGATGGTATGAAGAGTCTCCCAAAAAAATATCTTTATTTTTGATAGTTAGATGATACTTGGAATGATCGCAGACATCAACAAGAATGGCTATTGAGGAATCTTACTAGCACTAGTATTGATTCCATCGAATTGGTGATTTTCAACCATTACTTAGACATTCTTCATTATAAACCCAGTTAGTCAATGATGGTTAATCATGATTGATCGGAACCAGCTTGAAGATTCTTGAAACTGGTTAAGTGAATTAATTGAGTGATGTGAACTTTAGTTAGGATGGTGATGTCCGAGCAATCCATCCTGGGGTGTCCGTGCTCAGCTCCCAGGTGCTCAGGGGCATCTTGAAGACCCCCCCGGCCAAGGTGGGAGTTGATCAGTGTCAGAATTCAGCGGTTCAAAAGGATGGTGGTTCAAAGCTATCTCCGCTGATTTCAACGCTTCATAGATAATGATGAGCCGCCAACGCCCACCAGTTACTTTTGTGTTGCCAACATCAGTTCGGCCATTGATTTATGGATGCAAATGCGCTCAACCATTGATGCCTGGTTAGATGACAATGGCCTGTCAGTTGTATCAAAGATGAGTGGTCCAGCAAAATTGGTAACCCCATTCGTTTCATCGCAATGGTTCACAATATCTTGTGACCAATAGGCTCGTGTCTTCCAGCTTTGGATACAGCTATTGGCGCCAGGATCTTGATTGACGGCCATGAGAGTGGCAGTGGGCACACCGCAGTTCCCCGGGTACCTTTATCAGTGTTTGCCCTGAAACACTTCCCAACCCTTTTGGTTGATGATCATCCAAACTTGTAGCTTCGCGGTGGTTCTTACAATGGACAGACGATAGGCTAATTCCAGCTTTCACGAACTGTGAACTCACCTGGTTAAGTCACGCTGTGGTGATCTTGATGGCGCCCGATGAACAAACTGGTGAATAGGAGCTCAAAATAATTGAGTTGAATAGATCTCTAATATGCATCCAGCATTGTGGGCGCACCAGCACGGCTTCGGAAACAGCCAACATCCTTGAACAGTAGTAATGCCACAAGGGTTAGGCTGCTTTGAGCCTTAGCGACAGTGTTGACCAGTTAGATGATGTGGTTCTACGGCCTGGTTTGGATTGTAATCTGCTAAGGGATGCCAAACAGAAAGCAGCGAACATAAGCAGTCCATGACTTCGTTGTTGTTGGTCTCCCCTCTTCTCAATTCGCGTTGGTTGCTGATCATTTGCCAAACATCTTAACTAGTTAAGGCATGAGCCAACCATGAGCCATCGTGGACTAGCTGGCTCATAATCAAAGTCATAATTACAGCCATGATTTAGGACTAGTGACCATTACAACCAGTGATGAATCACCATTAGCCATGGGTTGGGATGCTTTTTAAACCAGTTGGCTCAGTTTGGTTGACGCGGATGTGTTTGTACAGCCTATCAGTGAGATAGGCAGCTCCCTGTTGCTCCACCCTTCATCATTTGTGCAGGCGCCGAAAATTCGAAAGAGAGAAGAGGGAAAGGTGGGTTGGGCAGAGGATACCGTCAGTGGAGAAAGGCGTGCCTTTTGTGTAGAAATCCTTTACGTAGCTTGGGGGCAGCAAACGACCGAAGGCATGCCTAGTCGGAGTTCCATGGGGGAAATTTGACACTGGGTTTCAAATATTGCATGCATTTTGTGCGCCTCTTGCAGATGTGGGCTGCAAGCCGAGTTTGATGGGGATTTGCATTTGACGGACAGACATTGAAGGCGTGTCCATTATGGCAACACTGGTTTTCCATGTTGGAGTTCCACCGTGATTCACCAAAAAGAATCCACATTCCAATGTTGCAAAATCATGCATGAAAGCCGGAGTTCCATGGGGGAAAACAGAAGTAGGCATACCTAGGCACACCTAAGCCGTGCCTACCGAGTTCCCTGGGGGAAAACATGTTTTTATGCTACCAGGCATACCTTTCACTTTCCTCTGCAATGAGCGATCCTGACAAAACCAAACTCGCCTGAGTCAACTGTGCTTAAACCAGGTACACTTGAAGTCTGCTCTACAGAAAATCTTGGCGAGCTCCAGCCATCTGCAGGCGGCGGCTCTGGCTGCTGCGACCGGTCGCCGTTGCCAATTATTCCCTGGTGCTTTTGGAATCCTTGTGTAAAATCCAATTTCCTTATGTCTGTGGGTCATTGGAATCGTTGTTCAACTCCCTTGTGTTTGTGGAATCCCCGTGCTTCAACTCCTTGATGTTTTGACGAATTCCCGTAATTCAAGTATCCTCTGTGCTCGGAATTTCCGTTATTTCATTTGTTTTTTTTTGAATCCCGGTGCTTCAATCCCATTGTTGTTTTTGGGATCCCCGAAATTCAATTCTCTTGTGATTCTCCTGTGTGTCTGGAATCCCTGCGATTCAATATCCTTTTGTTGTTGGAATCCCCAGCAATTGAATTCCGGTCCAGTCTTTGGAATTCTTCCTTTCCTGGCAACCGTTTTCGAATGTAGCAAGCAAAAGGATTTTTCCTATTTGTGAGTTGCAGATGATTTGAATTCCCCTTTCAAATTGGTTGGTCCATGTGGCACCATGTGGCGTCATATGACGCGATGTTTTTTGCCACATATCCAATCCATTCTAATCCCATTTGCCCATATTGGATCTATGCATGCTGGTTATAGAATATTTGGGGCCGCGCAAATCACAGGTGCGGTCACATTTACCCAAGCCGTACGTTGTTTTGGCAACATTCCGCAAACGGTGTGTCCATGAGTTCATCACGGTTCGGAGCCACCAATCTCTGCGGTGACAGTTTCTGAGTTTCGTGTTCCTGTAATGTTCATATAGAAGCCCTTAAAGCCGTGCTCATGGGTGGTCAGATATTACAATATATTCACTTTTCCAATAACATGTTAAATGCGTGACCGTGCTACCAGAAGCGTGGCAGGCTCACGCAAGCGGAGCTCTCAAGTTCATGTCTCGACCTCGGCGTCAGGTGCCGTTGGCAAGGAGAGCAGGCTGTGATTCAAAGGCCATACCATGACATACCATGACGTACCATGACATACCTCCCAATCCGTTTGTATTTCCCCTCGGCATCCCTCGGCCATTCCACGCCTATACTTAATGTTATGGTGAGCGCGTACAACAGCATGGGCTGGTTCCAGGCTACGAAGACATCACGATACCCCCAGCTACCAGATAACGTAATTCCATGCTGCGCAATGACAGTCCATGTCAAACAAATTCACCAACATCATCGTCTTGCTTGGGAAACCTTGAACTTGGGGTTATCGCATTTATGGAAAACCCCATTGAATAACCCACCTACTGTATATGCCTGTGTGGAAGAATAGGTAGAAGTAAGGGGCACCAAGGTATGGTATATGTATTTCTGCAGCTCATTATACATCATCATAACCTGATTTTATATTTTTGAATATACGTATATATAATATATATATATATATATTCAAATACATATATATATATATGTTTCGAAACAGATACAAAATGTAAGTGCACGAAAATACATAACATATAAACAGTTGCATGCAAGATCTAACCACGGGTCAGTTTAAGGCCTTTTTCATGACCAGCAAACACAGGTTACCCAACCATCTCCATCGCGGTCCCTGTTGCTGGGACCTTGGAACCTGACTGTCAAACAGGTATCAAACAAGTGATACGTAGTGGTTGCTCTAAGATGGCATGAATCCTCATTCATCAATAATCAAATAATCATCAACATTTCATCGTTAACAATAGCTAGTCAATGGATCGTTAATCATCATTAACCAATCCCCAATATACCATTGACATCCATGGACAAATCATTAGCAACTTGGGTTTATTGCTAGGCGCCCCAAGTCGCTCAGCCGCCAGGCGGTATGGTTCGGTGGGGCGGAGGTGATCTGCTTCAACGCTGTGCCTCGGCAAAGCAGCTGATCTTGCAGCATAGTTGAACTTGTAACAGCAAGGGGCCAGCAGTCATTCGCCACGCCGAATGACGTTATCGGAATGCCTGGGTCACCTGGTATCACGAACCTGGACAGTACTCCAAATAATTCCTTCAATGGATACGCGGTGTCGCAAACCCCAAATGGATCCTAACGGTTTGTGTACATGCCGGTACTGCGTGCAAACAACGGTACGACAAGGAGACGTCACAGACGTCACACATTTGCCAATGGTTAATCAACCACAGTCAACTGATATAAATCATGTTTATCGATGACTGCAATGAAGAAAATTGGAAGTAGGTCTCGTTTTCAATGATAGGCTTGCTAAATGATGGCCAGATAGTCCACTAGACATACATATCAAACCATTACTGTTTTCAGATCGTTTCCGCCGTGCAATGCCACACTGTTCCTTCGCAGGTGTGGTAGGCGAGATTGTTGTGGGTGACCCTGGCCCCAAGGATGTGGTGGAACCTGAAGCTCTTGCAGCTCCTGCAGCTCCTGCCGCTGCAGCTGCTGAGGCAAGAATCTTGGGTTTTGATCAGAAGACAGCAAATAGGTAGATAGATAGTAGATGTTGATGCAGATTGAGCATCGAGACATTAAGGTCCCTCCGGCATTGTTTGCGTCCGTTACCCATGTTACGGTATTTCGTTGAAGATGTAATCTTTGGTTTACCCACCCAGGATGCTTACCATAGACTGATGGCCTTGCATCAGTACTTTTACGTCGCTTTCAATCCGTTTTTGAACAAATTTGGTCGGATATGTGTTTTGGTTTTCTTGCTGATTGCGGTAGCGCAGTTGCAATTTGTGCATTGAAGGTTGTCAAACTAATTTTGCGCGTTTTTTTGGTCTCCATCATGTCCAAAACACGATTTTTTTTCGCAGTGTAGAGAGAAACGAAAAAACCGAAGAACAGACAGGACTGTATGCACGTGGGGCACCCGGCAGGAGGCATGGTTCCTGCGCCAAATGCAGCAGTATGAGGTGTGGTGCCGGGTTGTAGCTTCTTGTGGCGGGCTTTACAGTCATGGGGAAAGCCGCTTGTTCGGGTACAGTAAACTATGGGGAAATGGTTGCGATTAACTAAGCTAGGGTGGTTGGTTCTGATCCATTATTCTCGTTGGAGCTTGATCATCCCCTCTGATTAACCAGGGCAGTGCTCCCGTGTGGATTAAACGTGGCTGTTTTCCATCAGTAGCCATGATCAAGTTTGTACTTTGCTGAAATCAACAACCAACCACAATTCTCCATCTATTCACAATTAAGTTAACCGTTATTATAGTTTTGAACCATGAGTTAATGCTTGATGCCATTATTTAGCAATAGCCGCACTAACCTCCAGGTAGTTAACCTCTCAGTTGGTGTCAACCGCTAGGTGGTTGTAACTGTTGGGGTCGCCAACAGGTGTTTCTTCCCGGTCCTCCCCGGAACACAGGTTCTTTTTTCCTTGAACAATCAAACGGCTTACAGGTGCATTCCTGTATGTGATGTCTCAAAATGACATGTCTAAGGGAATCTGCACTCCCCCTGGAAAATGGATATCCTGGACATTTTCCACCACCCTTTCATGGTAGATGTCACTTTCGCCCAGCTCAAGCCGTTTTTCTTATCCTTGATCAACACAACATCTCGCACATGCCTGGTACCACCTACCTTCACCACACCAAGACTTGGCATGAGCAGGGTGACCAGGTCCTTGAATCTTGAGCTTTGATCCGGGGACTACATTGTATGGTGCGCAATCTTGGCACCAGGGTGAAAACACCAGTCGACGTGAATTGGCTAGCGTGGGACACTTCGGATCCATATGGTACCGGTTTCCCCAATCTGTCACTAGCACTTGGAAGCTATTCGGTCTCCGACCCGGTTCAGATGCTTTTCCTTTGGACTTTCCTTTTGAACTCGTCTCACCTCTTTGGCCTGTGACCTCTTCCTTACTCTTCCTCGCATTCCCTTGAGGATCCTCATGACTTGAGGCCGCTTGTGAAGATAGTACTCGATCTCCAGGCTTTCGGTGATTCAAGTTGGTCTCCTCTCTTGGGTCCTTTGAGGCTTTCGATTCTCCTTCATCTTCTTTCATTTCCTTCTTCTCTTCATCTCTTCCTTTCTTCTGCAGCTCCTCTTCTTCCTCCTCTTTTCTTCCCTTCTTCTTCTCTCTCTTCAAGCAGAACTGGATCGCTCGAACCGCAGACCATAGCAGGGACATGGTTCCCCAAAGAGCCATCATCATCAAGATCCACAGTTCGTAGCTTCTTTCTTCCTTCGCCTCCTTTGTGACTTCTTCTTCATGGCCTTTCGCAATGGACAGCGACGTGGCCACAACGATCATCTTCAGGAGTCTTTCCAGCTCATCTTTCTTCGCTTCACTTCCTCCGTCCTTCGATCTTTCCTCTTTCTCTTCGATCTCTTTCTGCCTTTCTTCGCTTCCTCCTTGTGCCTCCTCAAGATCTTTCATTCCCAGAATCTTTTTGAGATCCTCCAATCTTTGGGCTGACACTGGCTTAGTTCCCATGTCTGCTGGCATAGTAGCCCCGGGAACATGCATCACCTGCCAATCCCCTTTTTGGATACGCCAACGAGCGTTCTTCGCCTTCATCCTCAGGTACCTCGTCCTCCAAGATCCATGGGAATCTGCCAAGATGCTAGTAGCAGCTTGGTTGTCTGTCAAGGCGACACACCTCAAAATCTCTTCATCCTCCTCTCTCATTTCTTCTGCAACTACCCTGATGGAATCTCCCAGGGTCAGTCCTTCCAAGATCTCTGTAAGCTCAGCTTCTGCCGTGGACAGTGCAACGGCATGCTGCTTCCCAGCCTTCCATGCAATCGGTGCCCCATCCAAAGCGACGATTGTACACCCTTGACAATCTTCTCCAAACGAGGCATCCGTGTAACTCCTCAACTCGTGCTCTTCTGGCCTGGCTGCAAACAACAGACCTTCTTTCCACGTATGTGCCAAGTAAGCCCACAGTTGATCTGCAGCCTCTCGGACAGCCTTTGGTTTCTTCAAGATCTGGGACGCCAGCATGGAGGTAGTGTGAAGAAGGTCCGGACGCGTTCTCGTCATGACCCACATCACTTCTCCCACTACCCGTTGAGCTTCTTTGACATCACCCGCTTCTTTCTTCTCCTCCTCAGGCAACTCAATCCAACTCTTTGTAATGGGGGTCTTCTTCCTCCTCCATTCACTTTCATCTTCACCTAAATTCTTCCTCAACATCTCTTTCACGTAACCTCTCTGAGTCGCCATCCAATCACCATTCTTCAACTTCCACAACTCCATTCCCAGAAACCTCACTCCTGTCTTTTCGTCTATCTCCTCTGGTGTACTGGTTTCCCAAATGCGCTTCACCTCTCCTATCACCATCTTCTTCACTTCCTTCTCACCAACGATCAAGAGGTCATCGATGTAGATCACGACCATGCCTCCCACCTTACCACTGGTCTCTCTCAGAACTTCCTGGGCCCTCTTTTTCTTCTTCTTTTGACTCTCTTCTTCATCCTCCTCGATCTTTCTCTTCACGATCCTTCTGACCACCATCTTCTGCCTCAGCCTCCTTCGCATCTGCAGGGGGTTCTCATCATCTTCGAGTGCAATCCACTTTTCATCCGTGATGGGCTCCACCGCATGATCCATAACGGTGCGGCTAAGTCTTTGACGTCCTTGGTCATCTGCTATCCAGTGACCATGAGAGTCCCACGATGGGAACAAGTAGATCACTTCCTCTTGCGTGGGTTCGAACTCTCTTGCACGCCAACCTCGCTTCCTCACCAGCACCTTCGACATGAATGGTGGCCATCGAACTTCCTCTTTCACCAACTGGGCCATCCACCTCTCATTGAGATGTCTTGCCGCCAGAGGCCAATACTCCGCCTCCAATCCTGCCTGCTTCAACATAGTGCGAATTTGGCCCTTCGCTTCCTGCACTGCTCTTTCACAACGTCCGTTGCTCTGGGGGTCGTCTCCAGGAGTCCACGTCTTCAGGATGCATCTTTGCTCACACCATCTTCGAAACTTCGGATTGTAGAACTCTGCTCCTCTGTCCGTATGAATCTGCTGCACCTCGAAACCCTCTGACTTGAGTCGAAGGTACAACTGAATGGTGGCTCGCAGCACATCATCAGCACTCTTGGAGCCCAACGGCATGACCATCCGATGCACTTCAACTTCCGTGTTTTTGAACTCCTCTTCCTCTCCCCCCTCCTTACAACCTCCACTATCTTCCTCCTGAAGGTCTTCTCCATCCTCGGCCCTTCTTTCCTGCTCCTCTTCTGGCTTCCTTTCCACTTCTTCCTCCACCTGGGCAATCGCTTCAGCATCTTCGATCTCGGGGGCTTCATCCAATCTTTCTTCTGGGTCTTCCTTCATCTCTCTTCCTTCGAGCTTTGGCCACGTGAACGTCGCAATCAAGAGGAACTTGTCTTTCTCATCATGCAAGTCCCTTCCTTCCTTCAGTGGCCCACTCATGTCAATGGAGAGAACTCCCACTTTTGGACATAGTACTCGTCGATGTGGTTGACCCTTCGCCCTCGACTCTTGGCAGATCCTGCAGTCTCGACGAAATGGAACGTGCCCAGCCCTTACATGCTCACACCATGATAGGGGCCGGCATTGAATCTTCAAGTCCCACACCTCCTGCTGCAGTCTCTCTGCCACTTCAATCATCAAGCCTGGGACCCACCTCGCCAAAGCGCGAGACTCCTCAAAGAGCTGCCAAGGTTCTTTCCCTTCTCTTTCTCTCTTCGGAGCACCACCTCTCTTCAACGGCCTTTCGATCTTCATTGAAGTGCCCAACGTAGTCCACTTAGATGCTGAGCCGCCCCAATCCCATTGGTCCACATTCACCTCCTGGAAGCTGTAGACCCTCTTCATCATCTTCCAAGTCTTTGTAGCCCACCAGGTGACCACCTCTGGGTTCTTTGGTGCCCCTGGCTGCTCCAACAAGAACTGAACTTTCCTGTCCATTCCATTGGCCTTTCGCACCTCCTCCGCGACGATGAAGAGCAGTAGGAACCTCAACATAAGCACATCATCTTGCATCACCTTTTCAGCTTCTTGAGGACTTAAATCCTTTCTCCCCCATTCTTGACCTTCCTCCCAACTTCGCAGTGGTCTCGGTCCATGATCATGGGAACTCAAAGGGATATGCCTCAAGACACTGCGAGTGCGGCAGTTTGGTCCACCCACAACTCCTCGCACCCAACCGTTCATAGCCATCCTCAACAGCATTGCATAGGCTTTCCCTCCCGGCAACATGTTCCACTTCTCATCTCTTTCCCAATCCACCTCCACCAATTTCCGTTGGTCTCCTCCAGCTTGATGAACTGCCCTCGCCAACCCGAATCCCTCCGGAGCACCTGCATAGACATGAAGCACCAATCCTTCTTTCTTCCATAGCTTCCTTCTCTTCCTGTTCCCACATGCATGTAGGTTTTCTGCAGGCTCTTCATACAACTGGTCCTTCAGCCACTGTGGCACCTCTCGAAACACCGGATGAACTTCGATCAGCTTCTTCAACCATTCCTTCTCCTTCTCCAACGTCCTCTTTTCATCGTCACTGACCTCGACCTCTTCTACCCGTTTGATGCACATCCTTTTCTTTTCTTCAATTTCTTGGATAAGCCTCAATGCCTCTTCCTTCTCCACTTCTGGGCATCCTCCTCTGATCTCGACTCTCAATCGTCCTCTTGAAGGGTGCCACACCATCATCTCTTTGTCTTTCCATGTAGCCTCACACCCAAGTAGATCAATCAGCAGTCCAAGGGGAACAATCGGCTCTATGTCCATATCCCTGGACACCATGACCTCCTCTTTGGTGATGTGCAACTTGATCTCCTTTCCTCCAGCCAACGATACCGTCACTTCTTTGTACCCTTTCAGGCTCTCACCTTCTCTTCGTCCACGTAGAGGATGTGTCGCACCTGAGTCAAGCAAGCCCTTTGGTCCTCCTTGGAGTCGAGCAAGCCGTAGGGTTCTAATTGTCTTCAAATCATCCAACTGCTTCTGAAGGTTACTCAACTTTTCTTCTCTTCCACCTCCTTCATCTTTGCTGATCTTCTTCAGCATCTTAGTCGCCTCTTCTAGCAACTCCTTCATCGTCTGGTCCTTCTCTCCTTCGTCCTCACTATTCTTCCGAATCTTTCCTTTGTCCACAGCTGCTGCATTCTTCGCACCTTCTTCCTCCTCACTTTCTCTTTTCTTCATCGTCTTCGCGGCTTTCCCTTCTCCCTTTCCTTCCTTGGCGTCTCCACCTCGAAGAGAAGGTCTCGCACATTTGTCCGCATAGTGATCCCTGGCTCCACAATTCCAGCATCTTCGTTGATCATCCAACTGATGCAACCACGAACACTCTTTTCCTTTCTTACATCCTCCTTCAGTGAGAAAGAATCTGCAAGGATCTGACGAGTGGCCTTTCCCTGACTTCCCTTTCCCTTCAGCCTTCGCTCCTCCCTTCTCTGCTTCAGGGGCCTCAAACTTCTTCACCTTTGGCTCTGCTTTCGGGGGACCTGGATCTTTCGGGTTTGGTTTCCTCATCGAGCTTGCTCCCTGGTCCAAGTGTGCAACTTGTTCCAACTCGGCCACCAAGTGGATCGCCAAAGCATTGACCTTCTTCGAAGTCGGATTGCTGTCCACCTGCAAGTTGCTTCGAGCTAAGCTCACCCGAAAGTTCAGCTCCTTGTTCCCCTCCAACGGCCTCCTCACTATCCTTCCTAAGCCCTTCAACAAGAGAAAAGGGTCAGGTTCTGACACAGCCAACTCTGCAGCTCGACGCCTCCATCGCATCCACTTCCGTAGACCTTGGAGAGAATCTGCAATCGTGGAACCTTCAGGGGGATTCTCCAACGAGGATAGGATCACTTCTTTCTCGGCAAGGCCTCCTGGTTGGTATATCATCAAAAGATGGCACAAGATCTGCAAAACTGTGAGGCGTTTGGTGCTCACCAATTCTTCACGCTGAGCTTCTGGCACCGCCACCAACAACATGTTGCTCGCCCTTCGTTCCAATCGGACCCACTTCGCTATCTTCAACGACTCCGTGGGCACGGCATCGTGGGCGATCCTTTCCAAAGGGCTCAAGTCCATGTGGTCGGAGTACCACTGCCGTGCTTGTCGAAGGGTTTCCTGCCACCATCTTTGACTCGTCTGCGTCAAGTCGGACATAATTGGCTCTATGAGAGCAAGCCAATCATTGAGATCTATTGGTCCAGATTGCGGGGACCAACATGCCAGCTTCGGTAGCTCATGGCTTCCACGGACATATTCCACACTTGCTCCTCCTTCAGCTTCTTCCTCTCGATCTCTGGCTTCCCTGTCCAGCATCTTTTTCTGGATCTCTTGCATACCTTTCATCATCTGAATCAGAACTTTTACGGACAGATCTCTCTCAGCCTCCTTTTCACTGCCTGTCTTCTTCGAAGTCTTCCTCCCTCCTTCTGATCTCTCGTCCTCCTAAACTTCTTGGGGCGCGATGTCAAACAGGTCGAAGTCCTCTTCCTCTTCTACCTCTTCAGGTGTTTCGAACGTCTGAACCTCTGATTCCTGCCTCCTCTCCTCTTCCTGGCCATCCTGGATAGCCAACAAGGATCTTCTTTCTACTTCCCTTTCCTGCATCCTCCTTTCTTCTTCCCAGAGCTCTTCCCTCCTTCTATCTCTTCGTCTCATCTCTTCAATTACGCATCTCAACTCCTGGTTCTCTCTGCTCATCTCTTCTCTCTGCAGTTCCATCCTCCTCATCATCATCAGGAATTCTTCCTTCTCTCTTTCTTGTTGTCTCAACCTCCAGCCCATGTCTTCCATCCAGGCACGGACTCCTTCATCTTTCCTCGGGTCTTCAACTTTCTTCGGCTTTGGGGGTCTAGCAGCCTCTGGGATAGGATTTCTAGCTACTTCCAAAACTGGGGGTCTAACAGCCTCCTTTTCCATGGAATTCCCATCTTCCAATTCATAGGTTCTAGACGTCTCTAACAACCTTCTTGGGTTCGGGGTCAACAACGACGACTTCTGTTCCAACACCTCCACTGCCCTAAGCTGCTCCTCAGTGAACAGTGGACCAAAACTTTGCGGGGGTCCTTTGGGAGCTGTCTCTTCAGCCTCCTTCTTCCATGGAACCAACGCAAGATGATCTTTCTCAGCCTCAACCTCCTTTTCTTTGCTATGCTCCCCCGTAGGTGTACGATAGACTGTTCCTTTGGATGTTGGGGTAACCTCCTTTGATCCCTGAGCTTCCCCATACCCTCTAGATCCTCCAGTCTCCCCTGGTGTCACAGGCACCGGCACACATTCGGGTCGCAGCTTCTCTTTCGGAGTCGATGGCCTCGTAGTCTTTTCTTCGCTTCCTTTCGCTTCTTTTCCTGCTTCTGGAGATGCAGTCTTCCTAGGCTCTTCACCTGCAGACTTCTTTCCCTTAGCATTTGAAGCGTTCATCTTTCTCCTCCTATGTTGCATTCAACAAGCCTTTGGGCTCATAACCTGTTGGGGTCGCCAACAGGTGTTTCTTCCCGGTCCTCCCCGGAACACAGGTTCTTTTTTCCTTGAACAATCAAACGGCTTACAGGTGCATTCCTGTATGTGATGTCTCAAAATGACATGTCTAAGGGAATCTGCAGTAACCACTATACCATCATTTTCCATGATTCTTGTTAGTTCTATTATCATGGCCTTCTATGAAGTTAAGAACCATGGGTACCTCTGTTAAGTTATTCTAGTTCATTATACCTTTATTACCCTTTGGTAAACTAACCTGGCAATGGTTTCCTATCAAAAATGGTTGGTTTCCATTGCCATATTAGCCAAAGGATACCTTCTGCTAAGAGCCATCATTTTCTTGTTGGAAAAATCGCCAACCACCGGTGATTCGCTCCAGGCTGCCAAGGAATCCGCCGCTGCGACGGGATCGGAGGCGCGCAGCGCTGCAAAATCGAATGGAGTCATATCTATCATAGCTTTGGGTAACCATTTATATAAACAGATATGGTTTATATAAATAGACAACGGTAGATTATTCAACAGAAAGAATGTATTTTTGAATGAATAGATAATCTATGATTAGAAATAATGGTTATATAGACCTAATGGATCGATAATCAACGTGATTCCTGATCTATAATGGTTAACTAATGGTTCATGGCTATGATGCAACAAGTTTCTTCACTAGCTAATGATGGCAATGCTTAACCAATAATGGTTGTTCCCACTTATCATGGTGTTAATGGTAAATGGTTAGTGGTGATTACCAATGATTAGGAGTATGGTTATTACCTACGGTATCTTTCCCAAACAGGGAATAATGGTTATTATCAATAATAGTCAATGGTTATGGTTAGTGGAAGACATTTCTGATCAATAAGCAATATTTGCGTCTTTCGGAAACGGGATACCCTCAAGTTGTGGATAGAACCAATATCTGGGCACTCAGAAAGAACCAGAGAAAACTAGTGATCGGGCGTCGTTACATTCATGTGATGTTCAAAATCATGGTTTTGAATGAACAATCTACTGCCTTCATCCACCGCGTTTTTGCCTAATTCGATTCAGGCAGGTTTTCCAATAGCTATTGATTGTATTTGATTGTTGATCACGATGTAGCTAATCATCGTTGATTTTACATGATTGGCGTTTACGTGTGGATGTATGGTTCTGCAATAGTGATTGGTTCCAATATGTAGCGAATCTAGGAGATGATACATTGGATGCCCTTCAGCCAACGAAGTTCTCGCCTTTGGTGAAAAGCCAAGAGGAAACTTTGAACAAACCATATTGAGCAAGAACAGGCTCATGTCTCAAAAGGTGAAAACATGCATTTCTCTAAAATGTATTCGATGAGGTACCATTTTTTTGACACGTTTATCCATAAAAGCAGTGCCCAAATTGAAAGGTGTTTGACACATTTTGTCGGGAATGGTGACTGGTAAGAATGACAGGACCCCACTATAATTGATGATGGCAAATCGGGTTTCCAATGTCGAATTTCCCATCCAACAATTCAGCGACGCCTGAATTGTCCTTGTTGGCTGTTGTAGTTTCACCTAATTATCATATTTGGCGTTGATTTCTTCAGAGTGGGCCGGCTAAAACGGCGTTCAAGAATACCAACCCCCAATCGCATCCAATCGCCAAATCATTGTGTTATTATTTGTTTCCTTGTCAATCCTTTTGAAGATTTGCTGATAATGGTTTGATACAGGTCGGATATTCGCTGTTGATCATTTTGGATAATGGTTGATAGTGAATGTTTCTGCTCGTCCATGGCTAGATTTTGTGGGTTTTGACGGGATGGGTTTGGGAAACCCAGCAAAAGTCACGAGAAATATAACTATAACTAACAATTTTTGGAGGGAGAACGCGCGCAGCCACCCTGAACTGCATGTTTCTGTTGGGTTGGGATAGTCTTTACAGCCTCCAGATTTGAATGATTTCCCAGCAGAGTTTGTGATCTAATAACTGGCTGGTGTGCCTTGACCAGAGCGCACCGCCAAATGGTGGTATGTCCGCAATAGGATTGTATTTAAGTCAATTGTAAATATCTGCCCTGTTCTAGATGCATGGTTCTACTTATTGGGCATGGTTCTACTCTCGGATCGCTGAAATTAAGACGATCTGTGCATACCCCTCCCAAAAAAACAAACGCCGAGCAATGATCATTTTAGATGGGTTCTACGTCTTCAGTTTTACCTTCGGCGCTAGATTGATGGATGCTGACGGTGAAAAAACATGCTAGTCCGAGCTGATTCCGGATTATGGATCGTTCCAGTTGAAGTCTTCCTGTTTCACAAGTTGATAACATGTGGACTCACGAAAGGCTCGTCTTCTATGACTTATTGGATGTACTTGATTTTTGGGTACGTATGGGTTGTCAACCTGAATGTTTAACATAATTGACTCGTTTGCGAATGTACACCGTGTGGTGAGTACAGTGGAGCCTGTGGGAATGTGTCAAGAGACAGAACATCCCTCCACAGCTGCTTTCAATCGAATACGGATTGTCGATTGGATGATCGCGCCCAGTAAAAGGATTCAGAAATTTCTATTAAGTGATTTTTAGAAAATCATGGGGCTTTACAATCCCATTCTAGTGGGACACCTTGAGGAATGGCATGGCCATGATGAATCATCAGTGTTGGCATCCATCATTTTCTGATGATTTACCGCCTGGGAATTTGTTATCAAGTTAGATTTAGGTTTTCAGTAAGCTGGTTTGTTATGCTGAAGGTGTCAAACATGATCCGGGTGAGCCACCGCGCGGCACCTTTCACGAAATATCAGGAAGATCCGGACATTTGAGCCACTGAAGAGGCATCGTTGAATTTGTGGATGATGATTCGACGTACGAGCCCTTCTATTCAATACATTGGGTTTGGATATATGATGTGTGATTTTTCTGAAGTGTTGACAGGCTACGCTGCTCTGTAAATCACCTATCTGGGCCGCTAATCACGATGTCCAAGAAATGCCGACATCAAATGCTCATGAGTTTCCCTAGTCCAAAATGGCTGCGTGCTCCAGGCTAACAAGTCGTCTAGCGAAGATCACGAGGCAGCTGTCTCTTGTGCGGCTGTGCCGGTATGCGCCACTATATCCTAATCATTATTCATGTGTTTCCGCGGTATTTGTGGATATTTTTTTGCTCGTGCTGATTACAACAAGGCTTTGAGCTAACATTTCAAGCAGAGTTGGGCCAGTCATTTTCAACCATGGTTTCAACTCACCGAATCGGATGAACTCTCCACTAATCACCACATACAGTAACTAACCGTCAATGATATCCGTGGTGTTTTCTCTTGCTAATTTTGATGCTCGATTCTGTTTCCTGAATCTGAAACAGGAGGCTTGGGATCATGTGCCGTTCAAGTTTGTTTGAGTATCTATGATACGTCCTCATATTCAAACAAACTATACGATAAATATATTAACGTTTCAAGTTTTGCTTCGTATGTTTTTTGATTTCGGACTGACTCAGGGTTTCTTAGAGGTGTCTCAATGCCCTTGTGTGTGTGTGTGTGCGTGTGTGTGGGTGTCCCCAGGCTGTTTTGCATTCTGAGAGGGAATAAACCTCTTGATTCTTGAACTATGGATCCATCGCACACGCCCCTTGTTTGTAATGGAGGATGGTTCCCAGTGTCGTTGGAGTGATGCACACGTGGTGACTTTGCATGCTGACCCACGTAGGCTAGTACTGAAGTTAACTTGGCCGGGCATGGTCCTGATCCTTGCTTCCTTACATGCCCCTTACATTGGAAATGGTCACAAGCCCGAATCAGTGGCAAGGTGGTGGCATGAGACGGTTTCAATCCTCCCAGACACCGAAGAGGTTCTTTCCATCATTTGTGCAGATGCCAATGCTCCCTTGGGGAACTCTGGGTCTTGTCATATTGGTGACTGTGGAGGCGAGCCTGTTAATGATGCTACTGCCTGTTTTGAGGATGCCATTCACGCTATGCAATGGTGGGTCCCCTCCACTTTCCAGGATTGTCATCAGGGACCCTCTTGGACCTGGACACACCCAAGGGGTCATCGACTCCGGAGAGACTACATATTGTTGCCGTTGCAGTTTCGAACATGGGAAGTGCAGTCATGGACACTTCAGGACCACGACACCACCTTTGCACACGAGGATCATATCCCTGTGGCTCTTCGGATTCAAGGAATGATGGCCGCCCAACGTACCACGGACGGTCCCAAAGATTCCCCCAAGATAGGGTGGGATAAACAGGCTCTTCGAGATCCAATTCAATGTGCAAAGTTTCGAGATGCACTTCTTACGTTGCCAGTGCCATCGTGGGATGTGACCCCGGAGACGCATTGCAAGATTTGGGAGCAACAGCTCCTCCAACTCGGTCAACAATTCTTCGCTCCAAAGTCTGGCAAACGCAAACGACTCCACTTGCCAGAAGCAGCAGTGAACATGATCGCTTTCAAACGCCAAATGTTGGACTTTGGTCGAGCCAATGACTTGCTTAGAGACCCACAGTATCGATTGGAAATTCAGGAAATGAAGAAGAGCATTCGTCCACATGTTCGAAAGGCTCAACGCCAGTTCTATGATCAGCTCATACTGCAGTCGCAAGATGAGGATGGACGTATCGACACAAAAGAGCTTTTTCATGCCCTGCTGCGGTTGGGCCGAAAGTCCTCTCGCATGCCAAATGGACCAAGGCCACTTCCAGCTCTCAAAGGGCCCGATGGAAATTTTGTTCACTCGTTCGAGGCACAACAACGTTTATGGTATGACCAGTTTCAGCGCATTGAGGCAGGATTTGAGGTGACATGGGATGCACTCAGCAAGCTCAATGGAACTGGACCGACGTGCCCGAGAAACGATTTGGAACCCGATCTTTTTGTCAGTGACTGGAAGATCCAGAGAAGTCTCAAGCATATGCGCCGGGGCAAAGCTCCAGGGCCCAACATGTTGCCCACCGATTTGCTCAAAATTGCCGGTCCGGCCTTCACCAGACAAATGAGCGTGTTGCTTTGCAAAGTCACCGCATCTGCTAGAGAGCCTCTCACCTGGAAAGGTGGCAGAACTTTTCCACTTTGGAAACAGAAGGGTTCGCCACATCTCCCTGAGTCGTACAGAAGCATCTTTGTGTCCAGTTATACTGCTAAGCTATACCACCATGCGCTGAGAGATCATCTCACTCAGTGCTGGGAACGCCTGATTGATGGATTCCAGTGTGGAGGCAGGGCAGCATATTCAACCGATGTGGCCAATCATTACATTCAAGCTCATGGTGCATGGTGTGCTCACAAGCAGTTGCCACATGCTACCTTGTTGTTTGATCTTCGTGCTGCCTTCTACTCGGTGTACCGGCAGACATTGACCACTGTGCCGCTTAATGCGGATAGGTTGGCTTTTGCGTTGTCCAAACACGGTGTGATGCCAGATGATCTGGACCGTTTGATCGAGGTACTTTCAGGTGACGCTCGAGAGCTTGAACTTTCACCGCATCTGGATGCCGTCCTTAGAGATCTCATGGATACTACGTACTTCGAAATGCCAGGAGTCACCAACCCTTGTGTGACAACCCGGGGCACCCGCCCTGGAGATCCTATTGGTGACGTGTTGTTCAACATCACCATGTCACTGGTGCTAAGGGACATGCGTAGTGAGGTGCTTGAAACTCATGACATTCAGTGGTTTGGACAAGGAAGCCCCACCAAAAATCTTCACAACGCCGAATCAGTTGGCTCATGCGCGTTTGGTGAGTTGGCCTTTGTGGATGATTGTGCGGTCATGCTTCATGCACCCAACAATGCACAACTTCAGCAAGCAGTTTGGGGAGTCCTTCAGGCCTTCATCAATGCTGCTCGGAAAAGAGGCCTGGAGTTGAACTGGGGCGAAGGTAAAACTGAGTTGCTTTGGGCTCCCTCCGGGCCCGGATCCAAGGTCATCAAACAGCAACTGGCTCGTGATGGGGCGTGTTTGCATGGTATGCTTGATGGAGCAGCATGTCAACTTCGTGTAGTCAGTGCCTACAAGCATTTGGGAACCTGGTTGCAGACAGGATCCCACCATGCAAGAGAAGTACGAGCACGCATTTCTGCTGCTCGATCAGGCTGGGGGTCATTGCTCAAGTCCTTTTACCGTCGCAAAGAGGTGCCTTCAGCGATGAAGAGGCTTGTTTTCAGCACGGTCACGGGAGCTCGTCACTTGTACAATGCGCATGTGTGGACTCGAGTCACAGACAAGGACTTGACTCACTGGCACGAAGGGTTGCGACCGATGTTGGCAGTCTTGGTGCGCAAGCAATTGCAAGGGCTTCCTGCATTCAAGTTCAACATTAATGTTCTAGCCGGGTTACCACAAATGTTGCCTCCGCATGATGCCTTACACTTGGCTCGTCTCCGATACGTTCAACGCATGATGACCCTTTGCCCCGATGCTTTTTGGACATTCGTGCTTGAGGATTCCTCACCTATTTCATGGAAGCAGAGATGCATGCAGTCTTTTCGCTGGTTTTTGACGCATTACGATCATCAATGCCCAGTTAACACAGACAGCACCTTTCTGGAATGGGCTCAATTTATCCGACTCGATCAGGCATGGAAAGGACGCTTGAAGACAGCAGCCACTGCGTGTAGACACTTCCATCATGCCAAAGCAATGCATGCTTTGCATATTGCTATGTTCGAAAGGGAATTTGTCACCACAGGAGCTGTCTTGCCATTATCCCATGCCAACGAGACACCTGAAAGTTGGGAATGCGACCAATGTGGACAATCCTTTGCCACCGTGCGAGCTTTGTCGACACATGCTTACAAACGACATGGATATAAAGACATTGTCAGGTACTATGCTCTGGGCTCTCGGTGCAATAGCTGCAACCAGGAGTTTCATTCGCGACCACGACGATGTCGACACCTTCGCACTCAGGAAGCTTGTTTGGCCGCATACAAAGCCTGCTTCCCACCGGCGAGCGAAGCGGAGGTTGAACAGCTGGACATCCAGGACCGTATTGAGAATGATGCCCTTCGCCAACAGGGGTGGCATGCACACAAAGCATTGGAAGCGTGCATTATCCTCCCAGGCCCTGCATTGCCACCGGCCAACGACCCAGCAGCTGCACACATCAAGGAGCGCGCAATGCAGGGGTTTGTGCAGGAACAGAGGGGCTATGAACAGCTCCAAGGGAGATGCATTCTCCCACAACGACGTTCCCATGATGGCATTTGGTGGCTTGAACAGGACTTGCCTGCTTTTGTGTTTCAATCCGCAGGAGGCATGCAAAAAGGCGATGGAAGGTGTAGCAGTGGGGGCTTAGCACGGATCTACGCTTCACTGCACATACGATGCTTGGTGGTCGTACATTTCTTCTCAGGTTTTCGACGCACAGAAGATTTACACACAGTGATCGATCAACAAAGTATGGGAGGCTCAACCCAGCTGTTCACGATAAGTGTAGACCTCTGTATGCAGCGAATCTCCGGAGATCTCGCCAGAGATGAGGCAGTTTCATGGTGGGTCGCCCGAGCTGCCAGCGGCCAGCTAGCAGCTTGCGGCGGGGGACCGCCCTGCGAAACGTATACCGCCGCCAGGAATGACAAGGACGGTGGACCACGCACTCTGCGCAACCAGTGCCACCCAGCTGGCAAACCGACACTGGCACCATGGGAATGGGAGCAGATCAAACTGGGAGAGAAATTGATGCACTTCACCCAGACGATGATGCTTGCAATGGTCAAATACGGAGGATGCGGGTTTGCCGAGCATCCACAATGGCCATTGTGGATTTCCCAAGCAGACAGTGCCAGTGTGTGGAGCTCAAGACAATGGAGGTTGTTGCGAACTCTGGAGTGCGTTCAGGTCACTTCCTTCGACCAATGTTGTTTTGGCGCCAGCGCCAAGAAACCAACGACAATTCTCACAGTCAGATTGTCTTCATTCAGGCATCGGGCAATGACAGTGGGATTTGGAGGGAGATGTCCACACCCAAAGCAGTATCACAAAGCTCTTCGAGGAAAGAACGACGAAGGACAGTACAGAACTGCTGCTCACAAAATTTACCCCCCGATGCTAAACAAAGCATTGGGTGAGGCCATTTATGGGTATGTGGTCGACCTGGCCAAGGGAATCCAGCATGTGGACCCTGTGCCAGATGTTTACGATCCATACCGTTGCCAAACATTTGCTGCCCTCGATATTGTGCAGCCTGATTTTTATCGAGGAGCGGGCTGATAACAAGTCAGCCATGCAAGCACATCCAAGCGGTTGAACTCGCAGCATCCAGAAAGAAAGAAAGAAAGAAAGGAAACCCCTTCACGAAGGGACGAGCTATTGTAAATGAAGTGAATTGCTTTAACAAGTAAACCAATCACTCGTGGGAAACAGCGCAGGAACGGGCCAAACACTGGTTTTTGTGATGGATGGCTGATTAGCTAATATTTTTCATAGGACTACAACCGCCAACCAGTTAGTAATAACTGTCAATGACGATAATGATGGTGAGTAAGTGCTTTAACAGGGAGGTAGTGGACAATACGGGATGATGCACAGCCAACAATGCCAAAAGGGATGCTTAAACATAAATGGCGAATGGTAGGACTATGATCAATCAGAGATCCTGTTCATGACCCTTATCAACGATAATCAATCTTGGGTAGACAAAACATGTACGGCTGCTGGATGACAGCTGGGGGGTTACAAGTAGCAATACGATTTCTGCCATCAGCCATTGGTAGACTTCGGCTTATTTGACAAGTGTTGTGAGGGGTTGAACAACAAGGCCCACTAGTTATTGACAGAAGAGCCATTGAGGTTGATGGTGGTTGTTGCTGTTTGTTTTTGTTGTTTTTGTTGTTCTTGTTGTTGTTGTTGTTGTTGGTCATTGGCGGGTAGAGGGCCGCGTACTGTATGCAACTTCATTTTTCAAATTCGACAACCCTTCCATGGTTTTTTGCCTATGAAATAGCCGTGCCAGGGGGATTCGGGGCTCGTTTTTTGCTTTTTTTTTGCCTCCGCCATTTGATGCTACGTCGGCGCTACGTCTATGCCACGTTGCTGCTATGTTTCTGCCACGTTGATGCTACGTTGGGTATGGGGGGGCGGGGGGGGGGCATGTCAACGTTCGTCTGCACTTGCTCCGCAACTTGATGCTACGTTGATGCTACGTCTATGGTACGTATGTTTCTGCTACGTTGATGCTACGTTGGGGATGGGGGGGGCGGGGGGGGGGCATGTTAACGTTCGTCTGCACTTGCTCCGCAACTTGATGCTACGCTGATGCTACGTCTATGGTACGTTGATGCTACGACTATGCTACGTTGCTGCTATGTTTCTGCTACGTTGATGGTATGTTTCTGCTACATTGATGTCACGTTGAGATCTCTCGAGTGAATCCTGCGTTGTATGAGTACGCCTGGTCCTTCGCTCTTCGGTTTAACTGGACAGAAGAAGAGAAGGGGGACTTATGGCGTGCCCTAGGAGATGCGGTGTCACACGCACACTGAGGAAAAAAAAGTTGAAAGATGACATGCGATGGGGTGTGAGCTGATGAATGAACATGTCACAAGAATGACAAACACAGAACAACAGAAAAGTCATCAAAAATCACTTGCTAATCCCCCTACAACAGCGATTGCATGCTCAAAAAACCATGGAAGGGTTGTCGATTTGGAAAAATGAACTTGCATACAGTACACGGCCCTCTACCCGCCCGTGACCTTGTTGTTGTTGTTGTTGTTGTTGTTGTCGTTGTTGTTGTTGTATATGGGCTAAGGACTCTTCAATTTTGAAGACCTTGTTACCAAGGATCATTTGTTGGCCCGATAACGTCCAATAGGGTTGCGCTCGCATGCCGCCATTTGTTGTTGGGATTGCTATTGCGGCCTTGGGTTGGTTTCTGACTTCAACATGTTTGTGTGGGCAATTCCACGTCGGGCGGCTCCCGTAAGTCAACTGAACGGGTCCTGATGACTCAACCATTTTTTGCGATCCCAAGTCTGGAAACACTAAGAATTAAGGTGCAGGGTAGTCAAAGTGGTGAGCCCCCGTGTGCTTACTGGCATCAGGATTCGCACAGCTTATCCCCTGTGTGTAGATCAATGCCAGTTTTCCACAAAGATGCACGGTTAAAGAGCCACGCTCTGGACATGTTGTGTTTGCCCGGGGACCCATGACAATCCGGTGATGGGAGCAGATGGGGGTTGCCATCAGATTCATCAAGTACACCATGAAGACAAGTCTCTTCATTACTTTCACCAGCATTAACATGTATTAAGTGGGTGGCTTATACCCAGCAATTTGTTTTTTTTAATGTTTTTGGGGATTGATTTATCATATACCCACTAAAAAATCAAGTTTTAGCAAGGGGTCTACGAGCCACCAAGTTAACCATGACTCACAAGGATTGATTCCTATGAAATTGAGCTTTATAAACCACTGTCAAACATGACTTATTACGATGAACCACTATTTACCATGACTACGCATGGTCAACCACATTGCAATTCTTCCTTTGAAGAGACGACTGCGATCCAACCAGGCGCAGATGATGCATCGAAGTCCACTGAGCTGCATGCAGCTCTAGGCTGCACGTTGCCGCACGGAGTGCCGGTTACGTGCATCGTTTCAAACAAAACCACATGCGTTGGGTGACCTCTAGCCACGGTTGATGATCAAAGTAATACCAAATGCTAATCATTAACGATTGGAAGTAGCCAAGGTTAATCTTGGCTGATCATTAATAATCATAGGGTATGTTTGGAGAATCAAAGTAGACTTGAACTTTCGGGTGAAAGATGCTTTATTTTAAACCATTTGCTGGTGCCAGATGCATATTTGATGAAAGACGATGCTTGTTGTTGGTGGTTCAACGATGGTTGCCGTTGGTGGTGTAGATACTGGACTGCTGGACCGAGCAAGGCGACATGAGATTGAATTGAACCACTTGACCTTTTGGCGTTCAACCTTTCAACACGACCTACCGACTGGGAACAGTGATCCATCGACACGTGAAGTGTTTACCACCTTGGTTGTTCGGTTGGTTTCTGTTGGTTGCTTGGGTCTCGATTAATTGGTTAGCATTGGTTGATCACTATTCGCTGGTCCTCACTGCTCGATCATTTCACTGTCATGAACCACCGCAAAACCAGTGGCATGATTGACTCTTAGCCATAACCACGAGAATTCATTCAACCATCACAGACCATTACCATTGACCATACTCAACCATCCCCGCCAAAAGACCTTTAAGTAACCATAGTTTAACTATAGCTGAAGGATTCAAGCACTCATTAAGATTCATTAGCCATCATTCATCCATAACTCGTATCCCATTCACCGAAGTTTAGCCATGATTTGACGGTTCATTAACCTATTTTCCAACCAAAGCCCGTCACAAACCTTATCTTTTGAAATCCTCGAGGTCCACCCGAGCCAAACTGCGGATCTCTGTGCTGTTTCCGGAGATTCGTTCTCTAGTCATCTCTGGTCTCCCCGGAGGAAAACGCGGCGGGGCCACGTTGTGACCGGAGCAAAGGAGTCTTAGCACCGGAAGGATTTCATCGCCAGAAGGGGCTAGATCCAGTTGTTCAGGGACTGAGTTTAGAGGAGCGCCATGGTAGGGAAACCACCTATAGGGCTTGGGGTTGGCTCCACGGTCGAACCCGCAGCTTCTTGGGGCGCACTTTGAGATCACTGAGACATAGCGAGGGTCCATAACTTGTGGCGCCCGCAAGCCACTTTCAACCAACAAGCTGAAGGTATCATCCAAGCCGAGTAGAAAAAATCCAATCTTCCATCGAAAAAACCTGAGGTCTTTGCCGAATGATGGACTCTTCATGGTTTGTTCCTGGGATTTGGGCCCCCATTTAGAATTGTTAACTACCGCATTGTAACGAAGGTCATAGATCCAACAGCATATAGCGCTTACATTTAGCGGAGTTTGATTGATCAACCATATAGCTGTTGCTTGCCAGATGCTTAGCTGGGTTTCCCTAAGTCATAGACCATGGTCAGTTGCCATAGCAAGTAGCCCGGCACCATCTGGGTTGGTCAGCCATCAGTTGCAGCTGGTGCCACTGCATCCAAGCGCCATGCCGGAAGTGTGACAGTATCCGCCCAGCATCGATGCAACTAGCATGCCCCACCAGCACAGTGCGGGGAGCCACAGATGCAGGGGACCATGATGGGCTGGTGATGGTGAATCTATGTGAATCATAGTTTCTAAGCATGTAGTCGTGGTTATTGATGGCTAGTGCAGGTTAGAATCAGTTGTCAGGTAATCATGGTTTCTAGTGGTTAGTGATGGTTAGTCACAGTTTCCAGTGGGTGGTGATGGTTCGTCATGGTTAGTGATGGTTTTGAAATGTTGATTAATAATGTCTAACGATGGTCAGTGGTTCGTAATGATCCATCGTCAATCACAGATCAGGGTCATGATGGCTTAGCGATGGTTAGTCTCAGGATGCGGGTGGGTTAGTGATGGCGAGTGCTGGTTGGTCATGGTTGGTTTTTCGTTATCGATGGGCAGTGACGGTTAATGATTACATATGATTACTAACCATAAGATACTAAGTAATGGAAGTGATTTCTAATCAAACCATGCTTGCCAATACTCAAATATCATACTGATTGCAAACCATTATCAAATCATGGTTTCCAATCGGTAGTAGCGGTCTGTGATCATTAGTGATGGCTAGCATGGGGTTGATAATGGAAGATGAATGGTCTATGATGGTGACTGAGCAACGATGGTCAGTGCAGGCACCTCTCCCGTGAGAAATGCTGAGCAGCCCCCCCCCGTAAAACCGTGAGCCGCTTGTGATGATACAACAGAACAAGATGATTTGTGGGTTGTATAGCTACCATTATTTCTCTCGTTGACCCACAAATGGTTGTTATCCACCATTTTCGCAGAATTGTCTGGTTATTTTTAAAAATGAGGTTTATAACCACCATTCCTATCCATTCCTCTGTTTTTCTCACTTGCCACTCCGGTGTCGCTCCGCTGTCGCGGATGCTGCGCTGCTTCCACGGCCCCTCAGGTAGGGAGTTGGGGGCTCAATGCCCAACCGCCTTTGGTGGAGGAGCTCATGACGCAAGCGGGAGGCCGCAAAGTGTCCAACCAGTACGGAGGTAAATCGTGGGGAGAGGTGGTGAACATGCCATAAGTTGGCCCTGGTATGGTCATGCATGGCCATGTTTTCTTTTGTTGTTGCTGTTGTTGCTTGTTGTGGGTGGTTGTTCTCTTTCTTGTTGGATATACCCCATATGCTAGTTTCCAACCCCCTATAACCATGGTGTTTTGGTAGCAGCGGAGTGCAGCAGCGACGCAACAGCAAACAAAGGAGGAGGACTATGGCTTTCCCCCTAAGCGTCACTTTGATCCAACACCTGCGCCTCACCCAGAGGCCTTTTATGCTAGGAGTTGCGAGCCACAGCTCAAGGCCTGCGGCGGCTTTGGAGAAAACCTAAGGGCAACTGATCCAACTGTACGGAGTCAGATGGTGTCGTTTTCGTACCCAAAATCTTCTTGGATGTTGCACAGCACAGATTGCAGCTGTCTCATTTGAGAAACAGCGCTACCATCTTACGAGACTTTCTCTCAGAGACCATCAAGGGATCGAAGGTCAGGCGCCAGATGTTGTTCTTGAGGAACTGCATGAGGCCTTCACGAGCTTGTTTGAGCTTCTTGGTGAGGGCATCTGACAAATTCCAATCGCCACTGATTCAGATAAGTCGGCATCTGGCATCACGGAGTTGCTCACGAAGCTGGTAAGCTTGAAGGGCACTTCGGATGTTTGATAATCCGAGGAGAGGGCCTTCATGCTTGTTCACGGCATCATAGGCTCCCTTGCTGTCGGTGGCCAGGATTCCAGCCACATACTTCACCATGCCATTCGCCAGCTTGAGCTTGTCGTCCTCGGAGTAGGCGGCGCCACCATTCAACTGGCACTACATAAATCTTGCCCTGAAGTTCGCATCTTCACCCTCCAGCACTGACTGGATCTCACCATCGTTGGTGCTGATGGCTTTTCGTTTGAGACGCCAAGAGCGCCATCCCACGATGTTGAGCTGTCCGGGTTTGCCTTGGACTTGTTCTGGTCCCCCAAGACAAGTGATCCAACCACCTGTTGATCCACCTTGTGGACGGTTCGCATGGGCCTGATCGGCCATGGTCACAACACAGGTGTCTTGCCAGTGTTTGATCGAAGGGATTTGCCATAGACGAAGGCAAATTGGATCTTGTCGAACTTCTCGAATCATCTCCTGCAGCTCCTTGGCAACGGCCATGTTCTTGTTGACGGTGGGCTCGGTCAGCAAGAGATTGACACGGGCACTGATTTGCAGTTGGGTCTGCGTTGCAGTCCATTGCAAGGCTCCAAGGGTAGCTCGACAGGCTGACATCTCAGCTGGAGTCAATGGTGTCTTTGGATCCATCTTCAGCCGGTTCTTGTCCACCGCGATGTCGGGCAAGGTCTCGGTATAGAACTCCTGGCTGATGATCCAACGTTCACCATGTTGTTTACAAACATCAACATGTCTGAACAGCAGTAGCCGGTGTGTCTGAAGGTGTTGACCTTTATGGATCCCCAGCGGCTTGGTCGATGTCCCCGCTTCTGGTGAAATCATCCACGTGTCCAACAAGCCAATCAGGCGATGTTTGTCGCCTTGCGAGGGGACTCGTTGGGCTCGGTCCAGATCCAAAACGAGCTATCACCAAGTAGGCGATGTCCACCAAGACGCTGGAACGTCTTATCGACGTCTTGCCACAAACCTCTTGGAGCTTCGGCGTTGCCGTAGACATTCTTCAGCAATCGAAGCATCTCATCACCGGATGCATTCAGAGCCTTTTTGAGCTCTGGCGCTCCAGTGGTCCAAAGTTCCTTGGACTCCATGTCCTCGCCACCCGTTTGAAGGAAGGCGGTGTGCATGTCCAGGGATTCCAGTTGCCAACCTCGTTGAGCGACAGCGCAAAGACTCAGGTTGCGCGTCAAGTGCGACTGCACTGGCGCCGTTGTTGAAAATGTCGGTAGCTCCAAATCAGGATGATTGTAGCACAAAAGAACGATGCGGGTTTTGGCTTTTCGGCTGCCTGTGCGATCATGCACAGTCTTGGGATTGCTTCCAGCGTCTTGGAGAGCTTCTTCGCGGCTTTCTTGGGGAATGGGCTTCCATACCAGTACCCAACGAGCTTCAAGACTCTGTCAGAGTTTTGGGCACGAGCTTGCTCCTCATAGGACAAGCATCTTCTCACAGCTTGCGCACGAAGGAAGGAGGATACCTCAGAGTCCTTCGCACGGTCGAAGAGCGCCTTTTCTTCTGGGTTCAGTTTAC